AAACAATATCTTGACTGCAAAGCTTCTCTTACTGTTGGTGGATAGATAACGACACCGCACAGTCATGATCACCGTGGTGGCAACAGTACCCAGCAACTATCAGAGGAAAATTGCACATAGAACTGCTGGCTCTTGGGCAGTCACGCCTCAGCTTCCTCTGGCGTATGCTTTTTCTGCAAGTCTGGTATGCTCCAGGGTACCACCAACCCAGGGCAGCTCCAAGACTACAGATCATGCAGCCGTTTCGCCGAGTCCTGCTCTTCCAGAATCCCTTGTTCCACCAACACGTGCCCTGCCACGTTGCAAGCGCTGTTCTAGGTACTGAGGAGACGGCAGTGAATTAAGTTGAGTGCCTGGGAGGGAAGTCAATAAACAAACTAATAAATATATGTCAAGGTGTCATAAGTCCAATGGAGAAGAGAGAAAGCCACGGGCCTAGCAAGGCTTTCTTTCTCTCCTCTGTACCCCCACACTGCTTTGCACCTGCTTCTCATTTCTCACGCTGACTCCAAGCTTGGGGCCCTAGTTCTCTCTGGGGATCTGGCCCTGGCACGTGCCAGCACGCAGCAGCTGCTCAGGGAACATCGGTCGCAGGAACCAACTCCCTTCTTAGTTCCCCACTGAACAAGTCTTCCCTGGGCCCAGGCCCAATGGCTTAGGTGAGCTGGAAAGTCAGCGAAGCCCCAGACCCAGAGGGGATCACACAGGCGAGAGCGCTTTACAGACTTTAAAAATAAAAGCTGTTTTAGAGAAAGCAGCGCGCGCCAGAGGCGGGCGCCACGGGGCTCGGTCTGGGGCTCTGCTCCCACGTGGCGGCGGGGTCAAGGGAGGGCTGGGGGCTCGCGGCCGCGGCCCGGACGCTGGGCCCCGGGCAGGCCGGTCTCCAGTGCGCGGCCCGGCCCGGCCCCGCTCCCGCATTCGGCCGCGGCCCTACCTCACCTCACCGGGTCGCTCACCTCAGCTGGGAACCGCGGACTCAGGCCCCCTCCAGCTCCGCCACCGCCGCGGACGCAAGAACCTGGCGCCAGCCAACCGTGTCGCCATGGCAACTCCACCACCGCCTACACCGGAACCGGAATTCGTCCGGAAGGGCTCCCTTCCCGGCGTCCCGCGGCCGGCGAAACCCCGCCCCGCGCCTTTCCCGGTCCTCCCGGAGTATCCCAGCAGGCCCGTCCATCCGCCGGAGGGAAGTCGTCCTCCCCCTCGTTTCGCCTCTCCTTGCCTCGGAGCGTGACCCTGGCGGACACCCACTCTCTCCAATCAACTGAGGAAGTGGTTGCCGACGGCCAATAGTAAGGCTGGAGGATGCGCCTCAGGAGTAAGGACCGCCTCCCACCTGTCGGGGCGGGACGAGGCACGTGATTGGTAGAATCGAGGAATTGCGGGCCAGAGTTGTCCAATCACGGAGGGCAGCTCGGGGCCGCCCAATGAGGGCCCCCGGGGGGC